GGATGCATAGCGAAGTATATGGTCTTTTGTGAAAACAAGTACAAAACAACTTTAGTGACAAGCCAGAGCTCTAAAAATGTTGGTGGCTTGTTTGATTGAAAGAGTTTCTTGTGACACGGTCTGTCTCGCTTGAACTGTTGACAAATCTCTCAATTGTGGAAAACTAGGTCAGGAAGAACCCAAATGTCACAGCATTCAAATGACACTTTGACAGCAGCCATCATACTGAAGATCAGTCCCTCAAACCCAGAGGTCAGGTTTGGATAAAGAGATTGTGGTTTTTACTGAGGCTTCTGTGTAATTCACCCACAAAGGCCAAGAGGCATGAGCGCTGGAACCGGCAGGCCCTGGAGGTAAATCAGAACTGCCTGAGGAAAACCCTGGGAACATTGGCACAGAAAGTTCCAAACAACCTTGATGATTCTGTTGTCTGCGTTCACAAACAAGACATTTGATGCACTTGGGAAAAGTTTTCAGACCGCAGACTGTGCAAGAGATCTTGAAGACCTCATCATTTGCTATTGGACAGCTAACGCATTAACAGGCCAAACATTTGCAGAATTTCATCTTCGATTTATTTCAGCCTTTGGGCGTTTCAGTTTTTAATTTGTCCTATAAATTGATTTCAGAGTATGTTTTTTCCCCCCTCAGATTCATTCTCATTTGATTAGAACAACTGTAATTTCTTTCCATGTTTTTTTTATAATTTAATCGGGTGCCTGTCTCTCTGAGCACATGACCTTTATTTCACTGAAAAATGGCTTCTGAATTTCTCCCCTCATCACTCTTGCTTTTCAGCACACATGAATAAAATATTTTCCGCAATTTTAATCTTATTGCTTTGCTTGAAAAATTTGTCTGAATGCACAAAACTTTCTGTTAGAGAGAGAGATGTATATTTGGGCTCAGTAAGATTTGTTTTTGAAAGATATTAATACTTTTATTCAGCAGGAGTGCATTAAATTGATCAAAAGTGACAGTGAAGACTTTTGCTTAGTTACAACAAATGTATTTTTCAAATAAAAGCTGCTCTTTTGAACTTTCTTTTCATCAAAGAATCCTGAAAAAAAGTGTATCACGGTTTCCGCAAAACATTAATTATTTTATTTATTTATTTGCTTGCATTCATTCATTCATTTATTTATTTGCATAGCACCAAAAATATTGACTAGAAATAACATGTTTTATTTATTTTAATAAACAATGAAATGCTCTGCCTACTAATCTGAATATTTGGGTGGAGTTTATATTGCCCTCATACTTTGTACCTGGGGTGGGGAAAGAAAGGTTAAGAGTTCAGCAATAAGCATTTAAAATAAAATGATTTTTAAAAATCCTGACACATTCAGGCACAAATTGCACCGCTTCCTGAGAAAGAACCAGCCACTTTTGCTGCTGTAGCATTTCCCTCTTTACATGAAATGCATCTCAAGCTTTTGACCTAGATGAAACATATATTTGCCAGGGGATTTTTGGAACAGCCTTTGAGGGAGTCATATGAAATATAATTTCACATCACAGCTGAACATGCAACATTTTACTCTGAATGCTAAGAAGTTTTCACAAAATCGAATCAGAAACCATTTGCAGTAATACACAGGTGTCAGTGACATGATAAATCTATGCACCAATTCCTAATATCATCTCACAAACAAAGAGCAGAAAATTGAATGGTTAATTTCTGAATTTGAGTTGCATTACAGTTGTGCCAGCCAGTCACAGAAGATCCATGCATGAAAATCATTTTTCTTGTGCCACATACACAACCTTCTTAATTAGACTCCCATAACAGGAAACAAATGCATACGTTTTGCTGCAGATGGAGTCGTTTTGTCTTACATGCCCAACCATACTGATGATGTTCATAGAAATGTCAATTGTCTAATGTGAATTTGAGTCAGAAAGAAACACGAACGTAATGGAACGCAATCAAACATTTATGTTGCCTTGAGCAATGAGCTCTTTGAAAAAACAAAACAAAACCTAAAACAGCCATGTACTGCTTTAAAATCATATATATAGACTGCGAAAGTAAATAAATTTAAATAATATTAGCATTATATTGTATTTGGTTTCTCAACCAAACAGAAATCCAAGTGATGGTGATTTATTCCATATTTCAAATCTTTTCTAAATCGCATTTGGCACCTGCTCCGCCAGCTTACCACGATAAAGGACAAAGGTCCATGGATTTTTAAAAGAGAGGTGGCTATTGTTAATATTTAATGTATCTGGAAACACTAATTAAGTCTTCCCCACAGGAAATGGAATTTGACATGCTCTGGAGAGCCAGTGAGTAATTATATTTGTAAAGAGCAGTGATACAAGATACTCCCCCTGACTAGAAGTCATTACACGCCATTAAAGGGTCCCAGCAAACCTGACCTAATCCACACGTGCATGTGCACCAATCGATGCCCAACAAAACAGGATTTCTAATCGTCTTTGGCCAAACTCTGTCCCTGATCAAATCTGAGTGCCACAATATTCACATATCCCATAAGTCACAAACAGCCAGATGCCCCGTCCGCAGGACGCCAACAGCAGGTAAGACTCGCCGGTGATCTGGCATTGGTAATTAAATATTAAACCAGTAATGAGTTCTCAGCCATCTACATGGTGTGGAGTTCACATGTGAAAGTCTCCAAATAGGGCCCCTGGAGAGACAGAGTCCACACATAGAAGCAATAATTATCACATCCACAGGACAGGTGGAAACGCTGCAGTGAGATGATAAAACTCCAGTGAGACTTATTAAACAGGCTTCGGTAATAAAGACTGTACAGTGCGGAGATCTCTGTTTTTGTGTTGCAAATTTCCAGGCTGTATTCGTTCACATCTAGAGTGCTGTTTTCATTTTAGAGTGTAATTTTACATGCTTCTCAAATAAGGCACATCCATGCATAAATGCATGAATTTTACATCAAACCCGTGTAACCTACATGCAGCCGTGTTCATGGAGCATACATAAGTCAGAATAGCCACAAGGTAAATGAGGAATCTTTTACATACTGTATAATTCACTCGTACCTTTAAGCTGCATAATTAAAAGGACGCTCTCTCTCTCTCTCTTTTTTTTGTTAATATCCTATTATTTATTTATTTTCCTTCCTGGAATTGTTCAGTCTGCTCTGAATTTCAATTATATCTGCAGCAGCTATCACTATGCAAATGAAGGGTGTCCTGAGTTTTAATAAAGTGAAAATGCAAAGTTCACAGTGCTGCCATCATTCCTGTAGAGACTGTATCATTAGCAAAACACATTTTGTAAAATATATGCCAAATGTGACCTGTTTGGAAAAAAATAAATAAATAAATAAAATCAGGAAGTAACTGCTGCAAGTAATTGTTATATTTCACACTAGGGTGGGTGGTATTAAATGTAATGGCATAAGTAATTTTATATCACTCTGATGGCATATAATGACCGTCACTAACCACTAACCAATCCTGTTAACTTGTGACTGGGGCTTTTCATATCATTAGGATGGCGAACAAGAAGATGGTTTGTGTAAGATTAGCAACACATCATAGCTGTTTGATAAGGTAGTCAAGCCAAAGGCTAATGATATCAATTACCATTACGTATCAAACATTGTAGAGAGCGATACATAAAATGCAATGCCAATCTGATACATGGACTTGTAGATGGCCATGCATAATTCACTGTTCCTCTTCTTCTCGAGGAACAGTTTCTTGTTCAAACATTTAATCCAATTAATCCAGTAGTGCCATCTGCCATTTTGAAGCATTTACTACTTTAGTTAACCGAGTGGAAGTGGAGCAGGTAGTCTGAGCTGGTGTTATGGAATTGAGGCGGGGACAAATTTGCATATTCATAGTTCTGCGTATACTAAATGAGGTAGGGTGTAGAGTTATATTCAAGCTATTTTGAGGCATCAATAAATTATTTCCACAGGAAAATGTTTCAATTTTTATTTTGATTATGTCAGCAGAAAACTCATATTTTATTCTCATGTACCATTTCTCCTTCATCTGCAGGAGATGACACTGTAGAAGGAGATGTTTTTTTTTATATATATATAATATCTTGGGTCAAGAAAGAGTCAGAATGTACAACACGTATTTCCACCTCCCCTACAGCATAACACTGGCATGTGCTTAATTCTCAACTCATCATAACAGACAGTTTTGAGCCACAATGAAATCTTTTGTAAAATGCTTGATGTGTATAAGTCAGCTGCTAGACTTTGCTTTGGATGGTGCCTAAAAGTGACCCTTTTCAAGTATTTTCCCTTTCATTTTCACTTGTTTAGGACATATTCCACTCTACAGATGTTCAGATATATCTACAGCAGGAAACAGTATAGCAGAATCTCTACCTGTGGGCTTGCCACCAAAGGTTTGTAGGTTTGAACCCAGCAAGGAGTCACACATAAGCTCTTGATCAAGACATATCACTTCAAGTTACTCCAGAATGATTGCCGCTTTAATATGTGCATACAGAATAAAGCATCTGCTAAATAAGCACTTAATTAAAGCTCCTAAAGTGTTACCAACACTTTTCTTTTTGGTTTATGTGATATATTTGGTTTCAGTATTCATTTATTGGCTTTATAAACTCACTCAAAAATGTAATTTATTGTGCTTATGTTTCAAATTAATGCATAACTGGATGACTGAACATTTTTCTGGACAGCTTTTAACAAGTAATAACACTGTGCAAGCCATAAAATTAAAAAAAATCACTGAACTCTGGCAAGAGTTTATACCGCTTTGAGCAGTGCTCTTTAATTCAGTTTCTCTTCAAATGTTTCTGCATTCTTCCCTCAGTGGTTTACATTTATTGATTCAGCAAAAAGCATTCAACTTATCATTCAAGTAAATGCAAATAGTCTTAATAATGAACACAGAACCACAGGCACCCAGACATTAGCAAACATATTCTTGCAGTAGTCATTCTCTGATGAGTTATTAAATGCAATTTTTCCATTATGGCTGCTCCTGGAAAAGGTTATATAACCAAGAAAAGTGCTTACCTAGGACGCCGACTCGAAAGTTGAGTGTGATAACGATGACGTTCCCGTAACTGGCCAGCACGCTTCCATCAATCATGTTTCCGGTGCCCTCCATGTACGAACCTCCATGAATGTACACCATCACAGGCTTGGCTCCGGTATCTCGTATGTCTGCAAGAGTGGCCACCATTAAACTCTCACTCCCCCACTGCCCAATCAGAGCAAGATTCAACACAGCAATGCGTCTCACAGTCCTCCCAGATACCAGCCACCAGCTCAATTACAGTTTGAGATGCATCTCATATCAGCCGAGTCATTTGTCTCTCGTAATGAACAGTATGCGCAAAACAGATATGAACAGATGAACCCAACTGGCTATCGCAGGCGGCTCTAACATGCTTTAGTGGCCTAAATGATGAGATCATCTCAAATTTAATGGCCTTGTTAGACTTCACTGCTCCGGCACACAGCCACAGAAGGGTTTAAAACGAGCAGCAATTGGCGGGCCAAAAATTATTATCTAATAGCGGAGCATGCTGAAGCCAAAAATTAAAATGACCTTCATATTGTTCTGACCCCTATTGTTTTGCTGAAATCGTCATAGGCAAAAGTGAATGGTGCTTTATATTGCCAAGCTCTAAAAAGGACAAAAACAACCATAAAAGCAATTAATTCAAATATTCCACTTTCTGAAGTCAAACCCAAATGTATGCCATTATTCCCTAAAAATACTTTAGTTAAAAAATTGAGCAGAAGGTCACAGCAGGTTTGACATTATTGTTGCCAAATGCATTTGGTTCTCATACAGTGTAACATCATATTGTGTAAAATTCAGAAACCCTTGTTATCAGCGGCACCGACGGCAGTTAAGTAAATTGCAGCCAGCAACATATTTGTTTGCGCACACACTCATGCATTTAACAAACAAGAGGCTGGATGTGATTCAGTGCCCCAATATACTCAGTGAAGTTCTTTTTTTAGAAGTAAAAAGAAGTTGGAAATACTTTTGCAGTAATACACTGTTGACGGATATCTTGATGCCTCCCATGCTGATGAGAGCGACATTTAGATGAATTTGTAAATATGTGTTGCACAGCAAAAATGACAAAGCAGGTGAGAAAGCAGCAGTTAGGAAAGCATCTAATCATAGCGATGTCGCCGATGTGGATATGTTTGCGCCAGCTCTGCACTTTTCCAGTCTGGCATCATGTCGACAGATGAGGTAATAAAAGTTACACTGTGCATGACACATTGCCCCTACAGTACAGAATAGCTCTTTTGACATTAACCTGAACACTGTATAAGCATTTGTTTTGGAAGAGAGGTTCTCGGGAGTGTGCGTAAACGTCACGTCCATTTGATTTTCCCAGGAAAAAATGTCCCTTCACATAAGAATTAGTCTACAGGCTTTCATAGACAACCTAGGAAGTTGGGGAAGGTCTCGTTTTTTTAAGTTTCATTACAAGCTATTCACACATTGGCAATAAAAAAAGTGATTAACACATGATAATTCTTACATATAGCCCCTTTAAAAAAATCTTTAAAAAAAAAAAATCTTAATTACTTAAACGTCAGTCTGTTCCTCAAACAAAGCTATTATTAGAATATTCTTCATACCTTGTATGGACTCATTTTTGGAGCTTGACAGCACACCACCATTCACTTTCATAATAAGGGAAACAGAAGCTTGAATATTCTATCCAAGATCTCCTTTTGTGCTTCCCAGAAGAAAGACTGTAATACAGGTTTAGAAGAACATGCTTCCTTATTTCTCTTAATGTTTGTATATAGACATTAATCAATCAACCATTATCAGTTTGTTATTTTCTGCTAATGACATAATATTAAACAGAAAAAGAGCACAAGCTGGGAAAATTGTCTCTCTACTGAGATGAAAGAGACAGAAGCCTTGAGAAGCGAGCACTGCTGGGCTAAGACTCAGAATGCTGTATTGTATTGAGAGTTGCCATGGATACGGCAGATCAAAATTCAGAATTTTTGAGAATGGCAGTATTAAACAACTCCAGTGCATTTGCCCCCGTTTGCATTCAAGCCCTCCTATTAAAGATGCGCCTATTTGCATGTATGCGGTCACAGCAAAGCTGGCTTTTTCTTGCAAAAAAAGAATGTTATTTGCAATCACTTTGCCACTGTCTGCGCTTAATGTCTATTTTTGCAAGAACACATTCGCACGTTACACTCCTGATCTGATGGAACAAGCGAGAACTGATTTGTATAGAATTTTTCCATTTCAGATCCGGCAGCTGAAAAATTTACGGTTACGTTTAAAGATTTATCTGGTATCTGAGAGTAGTATGATAAGGCACTGCTTTGAAATGACAATTCTCTGTTGACACTTATCGTACGGAAGAAAGACAATGTATGGAGTGGGAAAAAGAAAGTGAGAGAGAGAAAAATGCACACAACTTCCTGCACAAGAGATGCACAGGATGAGATATCGAATGAAAAAGATCAATTAGAAAAAACAATACAAAGATTAGTCATGTCAGTGTTATCAGTAACCTCTTTTGTTGATTCACATCATGTCGGAATGATGTGACATAAAAAAACAACCACAATATTCTGCTAACTGATCTCTTCTCTACCAAATATTCATATTTAATGTCAAAATTGTAATCCCATTAAAGACATCTTGAACACATAAGATTCAGAATTCATATCCTGAGGAAAAAGAAGAGAAATATTGATTAAAAGACATCGTAAAGACAATTGCATTTCACAAACACATCATTTGAATAAAAAGGACATAAATGACCTTGTACAGAAGGGGTGAAACTATAGAACATTAACTGAAATGTCAGCTTTATGAATGTACAGTACAAATATGTTCTTTGACATGAAAACATGACTCATTCGCTATGACACACAGACACAAACTCACAAACAAATGCATATGTTTCATCTTCAAAAGCAGAGGGCGGCATGCATCTATTCTTTTATATAACCTCCATCAATCATCTCCAAGTGAACTAAAGACGGTGAAGACCCCTGCTTCCATAAATGAAACAACACTTAACACCTCTGAATGCACGATGGGTAGAACGACCTTCTTCACCATGTCTTCTGCATCTCCATCAGAGTTGTGGTTAGGGTGTTAAAATATGGTGGATGTCAGACCTGGGCGGCAGCGCTCAGTGTGTCTGCAAAGCTCAGGAGGAGGATGCGTCAAGCTATCTGTGAACCTCTCAAAATTCTCAATGGGCCACCTCTCAACGGCCTGTCACTCTAGAGGAACTGGACAGCGTGAGCACTGATAAGTGGCCCAGACTAGCACTGACGCTGTAAAACATGGAATCTGTCAAACATTCTTATTGTGAGCATTGTATGAGCTCCAAAGCCGAGGTTTTGACTTTAGACCCCACTGCTGAGCTCATCACAGATAACGTAAATGTTAAAGATCGACAGTTTCAGGTCAGACTGAATATTTCTGAAGCCAGCATGGCTCGGACCCTGCAGGATAATGCATATCATACACATGGAGCCTTTATACACCGTCTACCTCAATCTGTCTACAACTCTCTCTCTCTCTCTATATATATATATATATATATATATAAATTTTTAGAGAACATGAGTGGTGCTTGCTTTTGCAAATCTCACTACCCCAAATGCTGTTAAAACATTGCTATGCATTGTTGATGTGGCTTCTAGGGTGTTAGGAGTTTTGCAAGTTTGTTGTGGCCAAAATCATGTACTGTTAGAGTTGTTTGATGAAGAACTCTGTGACCATTAAAAAATGATGCTCTATTAAGTACACATTAATAGGATTCTATAGCTTCATTGAATAGTGGAGTGTCCATTGGATGGACATTTCCAAAAGTAGAATGGCATATGGGTATTTCTTGGGTACTGTTTTATGGACATGCTACTCATTTCACACACTGCTTTTTGCAAACAGTTTAGTAAGAGAGTAGGCATATTGGGGTGCAGGGTATGATGATACTGCAGTGCTTTAAATACAAGTTAATTCAAAATAACACATATTGGCCTAAGCGAAATGCAAAAGGTTTGCATTTGGCAATTTGTAGACTTTGATTTCAATGGCTCAACCTCAATCCAGATGGGATGAGTGACCTTTGAAGAAGGTGAGTTCTTGAGACTGGGCTGCAGTGTTTGTGCATTAAATATAATGGTACTAACACAGAGACAGGTGGTTTGATGTGCTCTTTGAAGCCCAGCTTCTAGCAGTGAATGAGGAGGAGGAAGAGACCAAGAGAGAGACAGAAAAGGGGGGAGGGTGAGTTTCAGACAGTTCTGAAACTCACTGCACCAGCATGCAGACTCCATGTCAGACACCTCACACTCTACGAACCAAAAGCACTACCACACACACCTGCAAAGAGCTTATAATTATGCAAAATGACCATACTCTCAAGAATTTGCGACAATGTCCTGAGACTGATGCCAAGGAATATAGACTTTTACAAATGTGAGTGCCGTTTGCCCATGCAAAATCTACCACCACACTGCTAGGGTGTCTGGGTGGTTGCTTAACCCCTCAGCATTCCTGTAAGATTTGCCTAAATCGCCAGTGTACCATGGGCAGTATAGTGGAACGCTAACAGATAAATAGCCCAGGTGAAAGAGTTTACCCTCAACTCTTAGTGATGTTCTGGTTTCCTTAGCAGATAGAGTTCAGGACCCTCCTTCAGTTTGAAGGTCTGTTCTCACCAGCACAAATGTTCGGCACAAAAATTTTGTCCGATTTTCACCAGCTTTATTTGCAGTGTGATGGAAAAGAGATTAGACAATAGAGCATATTTATGTCAGTCTGAACAGAGGCATTAACAGCCATTCAATCAAATTAAAATATTTATGCACCTAATTTTCGCACCCAACATTATTTTGCTACCCAGGCTCATTGGAAATACATGCCTTTGCCTACAATTTAGCAAAACTACTCCTTGCACAATATTATGTTATGACTTCAAAACAATTTTAACATGCTATGAGATTTGAAAACCAATACTTTTCAGTTGCATCAGCAAATGTGTTTTTATATCACTTTTGCATTTGTTAATACTATCAGATAGGTTTAGGGTTTGGTGTATGAGGTATGTTATTTTCCAACACAATAGAGCATAACATTTTTAGCGAACCTGCCCAGACATCTGAATTCTAAACCACCAAAATATGTACCTGAAGCAACA